ATCGTAATCAAGAGCGGGATAAAGATAGGTTAGACTAAAATCAAGAAAATGAGATTGTCGTTGTTAATATTCAGATGCATTATTCTAAGGATTTAAACCCTTAGTCGGATATAATTATTGCGTATAATGTTATAATTTTGAGCTCTATGTTTTCCATTAAAAATGAAACAAAAGGAGAAGTGGGAGAAGATTTAGATATTGAAAAAAAAGAGATATAGATGTTGGAATATTTTGTTTTCTTACATCATTTGATTTGTTATTGTATTTGTATAAGATTTTTGGGGGAAAATATAGTCTATTTGATATGTTTTTGCTGGCCCCATGTAATTGTCATTCTTGCCTTTGGCCTTCTTTAATTGTTAGTGTTATATAAACTTAAATTATTTCCCGCATAGTTTATTTATTCATCAATTTAGCAAGCCTAGTTTTACTTGTCTTTTACTCTAGAGCCCGATTATTAATGAGGGAAACAAAATTTGACTATAAAAATGACAAATCATGGCAAGAAAAAATATATTATTTTCTTAAGAGAAAACAAATATATCTTTGTCTTCTCCACATTATTATTTTAAAAAAGACTTTTTATATAGCCACTTTAATTTTGTCTACTATACTACTATTTATTATCTTACAACTTTTTGTTTATTAATCCCTTCCCATCGGATTCCAGCTAAAAACACGAATATCTATATATTCCAAAAAAAGTTGTAATATATAAATGCATTGCGAGTTTATTATTACACGCTATTAAACATTTCCTTTTAACAATATTTTATTATTCAATATTAATATAATGGACAGACATGGAAAAAAGCCTGAAACAAATCTTTCAATATAAAGAAATCCATTAATAAAAAAGGATAAAATACCCATTATTTAATGTGAATATTTCCAAAATTAAAAACTCGATTACTATTTTTATTTTATTCATCTAATAAATCACAGCATAAATAAATCTAATTTCCCTCACTTTCCTCGCCAACATTTTCCTAATTTCCAACTTCTGTTCTTACCAATATATTTTGTTTTCTTTCCAAAAAAATTAACTCCTTATATAATCAGTTTGATTTTCTTATTCTAGATCTTAATTTTATTTCTTTTTTTTTTTACCTTTGTGTTCTTAATCTCGTCTTTGTTTATCTTTAATCAAAACCAATAATCAACATAAAAATAGAAGAAATTAACCCCAAAAAAAAGGTAAACGAGGAAGCTAATGGTCTTAGATATGGAGTCTACCGGAGAAGTTGTTAGGTCAACCACCGGAAACGGCGGCGGTATTACGGTGGTTAGATCCGACTCACCGTCAGATTTCCACATAGCTTCAAGATCAGAGACCTCAAACCCATCACCTACCTCCGTCGTTCCTCCTCCTCCACCACAACCGTCTTCTCATCAAACGAACCAACACGCCGGAGTAGCTCCGCTGTCGCCGGCGACGATGGAAGGTATCTCCGGCGGACAGATGAAGAAGAAACGTGGAAGACCGAGGAAGTACGGACCGGACGGAGCAGTTGTGACGTTATCTCCTAAACCGATCTCATCGGCGCCGGCGCCGGCTACTCACGTCATCGATTTCTCCGCCTCTGAAAAACGCGGCAAAGTGAAACCAACAAACTCTTTTAACAGAACAAAGTTTCAGCATCATCAAGTCGAGAATTTGGGTAAGTAAAAAATCCTTTCTCTGCTTTGTTTCTATTAAATTTGAACAGAACTTAAAAAAAAAAAAAACAGAAAGTGAATTTTGTTTTGTCGGAATCTTGTTTTGTGTAGACCAATCTGACTCTCGTGACTATGAGATTATTTTTTGGGGTTTTCTGGGATTTCATTTCATGCATGCTTTTTATTTAAGTGGGACCTCTAACTTATACATCTATTTCTCTGAATCTATGTTTGTCTATGGTTATAGATATCTACACATATATGTCATGTTCTTAATTGTTCACTTCATATGTGAAACATTAAGCTTACTTAGTAACAATTTATACATTTAAGCTTTAGTAACAATTTTAGACATACCTCTCGTGTCCTTTAACAAAAATTTGATCATCTATGGTCTTAAAATCGTAATTTCGCATTGACTACAAATTCAATTCCCTTGTCGAAACAACTGAAATTCGCGTCAACTATTTCGTGTTTCGGGCTGGGTACGGGTTCGTTAGCATGACGAGTCTGTAAGGCGAAGGGGCTTACTCATCCATCGTATTAGTCGAGCTATAGATCCGGATCATCGATGTAAAAAAAAAAAAAAAATTTTAGATGTTAAATCATTTTGGTCGTAACTTGCGATTTTTAATTTGTAGCGCGGATATACTCGGCTACTTTGTTATAGGGACATAAAAATCCATGACTAATTTGTTGTATTACAAATTAAAAAAGAAAAAAAAATCAACACTAATAAAAAGTGATAAATTGTATTAAGATCTTCAAGATAATAATGAGCTTTGGCTCTTGTGTGTTGTGTTTTGTGTAGGTGAATGGGTTCCTCGCTCCGTCGGTGGTAATTTCACACCGCATGTAATCACGGTCAACGCCGGAGAGGTAAGCTGATCGAACTTTTCTTCGATATGGTCTCATTTCATTTGATCTTATACCAAATTACGAATGATATCTGTTGGTTTAACTAGGATGTAACAAATAAGATAATCTCGTTTTCGCAACAAGGACCTCGTGCGATTTGTGTTTTATCAGCAAACGGTGTTATTTCAAGCGTTACACTTCGACAGCCCGATTCCTCTGGTGGAACATTGACATATGAGGTATGTGATTTCGATCTCACCGATCAAATTTTTGTTGATGATTTAAGATAGATGAATCTTGATGATTTATATAATGGTTTCAGGGTCGGTTTGAGATCTTATCATTGTCCGGGTCATTCATGCCTAACGACATAGGCGGAACTCGGAGTAGAACCGGAGGAATGAGTGTATCATTAGCAAGTCCCGATGGACGTGTAGTAGGTGGTGGCGTTGCCGGTTTACTGGTAGCTGCGAGTCCGGTTCAGGTTTTTGTTTTGTTTCTCATTAATCAATATTTCGGACCAAAAATCCGCAACTTTCTAAAGACGGGAAAGATAAATTCCGTGTGTTTGAATGAACAGGTGGTTGTAGGGAGTTTCTTAGCCGGGACGGATCAGCAAGAACAAAAACCGAAAAAGAACAAACACGATTTTATGTTGTCGAGTCCAACCGCCGCGATTCCTATCTCTAGCGCAGCTGATCACCGAACAATTCATTCGGCGTCGTCTCTTCCGATCAACAACAATACATGGCAGACTTCTTTAGCTTCTGATTCAAGAAACAAGCCGTCCGACCTTAACGTCAATTTAACTTGAAAAAGCCAATCCTCCTTTGTATTTTTCCGTTGTTTCGGGGTTTCCACATTAGGGTTTTACTAAACTGGTAGCTATTTTTTAGGGGTTTAGGGTCTTATGTTTGTTCCATTGTGGTGGTATGTAGGATTATTTCCATCTTTTATTTGGATTGAATCATCTTGTTTCCTTTAAAATTTGGTTAAACCAGTCATAGTTCTGGTTTGTGCTTGTTATCATATCAAACATGGAACCTGAACCATCAAAACATCAACGATTCTCTCGACATATTCTACAACATTTATACTTTGGTGCGCGTTGGACATTTTTCAAGTGGTGGTACAAATTCGTAAAGGAAGAATCGATTTCAGCCTAGAACCTTACATTCTAAGGATCAAGAGTTCCCAAAAATGTTTCAAAAGTATCATTACTAGTTAAGAACAAGTTAAACCATCGAGATTACTTCCCACTTTACCAATAATCGAACATAAGTGTATCACGCACAAAACATTTTGAAGAATCCACACAATTCAACAATTTGGACTTAGCCTAAAATCTTAAACTGAGATTCAAGCAGATTCTTTCACAATCTAGGGCACCAAAAAGTAACGAAATCGATAATAGAAATTATAGGAGAGTAGGCATATATAACGATTTTACAGAATATTCTTTTTTTCTTACGGAATATTCTCAAGCAACAAGATCATGAAAACTTTTTTGAATATAGTCCTGTCCACAATGAATTTCCATAAATTTCAAAAATTAAATCATTATCATCGTCGTTTCGATTTGTTTAACGAACTAAAAAAGGAATATATAGGCCGAAAAGGAAAAACAACAAGAATCATAAAAATGAAGAACTACATACATAAAGATTTGTTGTGATCAACAAAATCCATTGAAATTTCGTTCTTAAGATGTAAAGATTTTTTTGGTGATTTATCCAACCTTAGATGTCTCCCAATGCCGAGTGGATCAACCTTAAAACCAAAAAGAATAGAAAAAAAAAATCAGGATTAAGCTTTGTAAACATATATATATGGAGATATGAAAATTAATAGTGATTAAAATGTAAATAAATATACCAATAGGATGTGATAAAAATGGAGAGAGCGATATGAGCAATCTTGTAAATTCGTTTCTTTTGCTCCCATTTATTTGTATTGTGCATCTCTGTCACGTCTGCCAAATGTTCCTTGTTCATATATCTTTAACCGGAAATAACAACAAAGACACATTTTATAGAGTTAAACCGGATAAAGATAACCGATTGACCGGTAGGTTTCGATATAGATGTTGAGTGGGTAAATTTACTTACAATCTAATGTTGTAGAAGAGGAGGGGAAGAGACAAAACCGCCATGAACCAATGTTTGGTTAAGACATAGTATAAACAAAGAAGTCCTTGTAAACCGAATTCCGGTAGAATCACCCGGTTTATTTTGGTAGATGAATCGTAAGGGTTTATGTGATCAGCCTCTAGATCCGCCAAACATGTCAACTACATCAGAAAGAAAAACATTACTTTGGTTACAAAATGATATTTACTTGAATTACACAAAACAAAAAACTATCAAAATGATTCAAACTTCAAACCGAGAAAAAACGTAGCCAAAATTCAATAACATTTTTCAAAGAATTATATTTGTTTAAACTACGAATTAGCTTTAAGCAAAACAAAATTATTAGGAGAGAAAAAAAACCTGGTAAATGACGATGATGAGAAGAGTGACGAGGAATAACAAGGAAATAATCCAATCGAGTAGATCGCCCATTCTCCGCCGTGTTCCGACGTTAAAGNTCCGCCGTATTCCGCCGCCTCCTTAGCTCCGGCCTCTCTCTCTACGGTGTTGTTGGTCAAATAGCTTTAGGGAATTGCAAGTATAATGTGAAATTTTACACGGAATATATAAGAAATTAATTTATTAAAACTACTAAAATCCCACTGGATCTAGTTGGATAAAGGCTAATTATTTATTTTTAATACAAATTTGATCAAATATGATATTATTAGTTTATCCAACTAATTAAGTAGCCGATTGATCAAAGCTTCCGTTTCAATATGTACT